GTCGACTTTCTAATATTTGATTTTTTCTTGCTGTCGCAAACGAAGAAAGCTAATTGGCCGATGGTACCCGCTTGCTCTCGCTTCTCTATCATATGCATTATTGAATGCACTACCGTTTGCTATACGTGGGTTGTTGTTACTTTTTGAATAAGTAAGTTTGTCTTCCACCTTTGAGAAGAAATTGAAAAAGTAAGACATTGCTCGCTTTGTTGGAGGTTAAATGTGCTTATGTTAGCCCACTACCCCTGACCCATTATAAAATATTACTTATTTAATTTTACGAATACTGCGGGAATTCTGTTCACAAAAACTTTGAGTATGATTGTACTTTGGCAGTTCGGCTCGGGCGATTGGACCTTTATCACTGAGAAGATGTTTTGTCAAACATTAGTGCGCACTAGAAAGAGCAAGAAAAGTGCTTTCAGATGATTTTCATGTATCTGCAACAAGTGCAAAACTCCAAGAAACTAGCTACATTAAAACAAGGCAACTATACATCGGACAGAAGTTTCGGAACAACCTAGTACAAGTCGTGCCCCAACATTTTAGCCGCAGCGCGCGTGGTCCGCCGTTTGAGCAGTCCGTGCGGTCAACGAATCTATAAATGTGTTCATTGATTGTTGTGTATAAAGATAACACTCATCAAATTCTAGTAAGTCTCACTGGAAAAGTTTTGTTATAGCTAAAGAGTAGGTATACCCGCAATCGTCAAGAACATTATAAAATTCCAAAAACTCAAATGAAAATGCAACCTTCATATGTCGTGGTATGGAAGTAACAGCCGCTGCAACTTCGTAGGTACTGAAGGGTAAGGGTTGTTATATCAGAAAGTGAAAAAAGCAGCTCGATCAGAAACTTCATCTTCGAAACCAAGTTTGAAAAAATATGCTGATTAAGATAGCTTAATGACAGCTGACATCAACTCCTATAAATCTTGACTGTGAAAGCGTGTAATGTTGCATCTTCACACATTTCGTAAGATAATGTTTGCTCTATCAGGTTGCACATAATCCAAGGCGATAAGAGAAAACCACGCCGAGAAGCATGCTTTTGGAGTTAGTCAAAAAGTTTGTTTTTAAAACACAACTCATCTTTGGGGTGGCTTTTTTGTCCAGCTTTCATTAAGGGCTTTTTCAAAGTTTTCCGTTTTTCTCCTTTCAAACTCAACAAGGCTGGAAGCCGTTTTGAGGGGTCATGGTAGGTTAACATGCGCACAATACAGCAAAGTTTCAGACAGAATCATTGACAAGCGAAAATTACGACGATTTCTAGAGTCCAAGATTGGTACAGATATTTATTCGGCGGCGTGGCAGGAGTTCCCAAAGCCTAGCCGCTTTTCCTCTTAGGAGTACTTGACACCTCCAGAAATTCCTTGAAGGACATCACACCTTCTCAGGGTCAAAGGGCTGCTCCGCCCACCACTCCTCCCTCTAGGTGCCCTCATTTCAAAATGTTTACACGCACTGTGAGGCGTGCTTCACTGGATATGAGGATAGCAGAACTTAAATTGAGAAACAAAAAGTTTCGATAGGTTTTAGATCCATTAATAATTGCAGCTGAATCCCAGCATTTCGAATTATTTTTAGTCATGTTTTCGATTGAAATGACGCTTCCTTGAAGACTTGTAGTCGCGCTTGAGTAAATTTGTAAGGCATATCGTATTAATAGTTATATTAATAGTTATGAGTCTTCCAGTCACAATAGAATATAACAGAGAACTAAGTCAACTTCAAAGCTCTAATCATCTAAGAATATAGCGAATTACCACAGATTGCAATTTTTGTGTCGTATTTGGAACTCTTAGCCAGCTCTTCGATTATGCGACGAAGGTGGTATTCTAGTACATCGATAGGAAATACTACACCTGAAAATTTCTTTTTGATAATTTGGATCTTATTGATCATTAGAGGATTTGGCAAACTTATTCGGATGATGGCAAGCAAAAGTGGAAAAGTATATGGGTTAAGATACCCTAACTGTTTGAGGAAGCGTTCAGTTGCTTATTCGGAAACTTTGATACACTATTGAAAAATAGGTCTTTTAATGTTGAGAAGGTAATTGGGTTCTCAAACTTCTGATGCTAAATTACTTCAATTAGATGACTAGAATGTACAATTGATCAGCCAGGTCCTCTAATATTTCGAACGACTGGATTTTCTATCTAAAAAATTCTGTGCGATTTTTTTCTTCTGGAAATAATGTTTATGCATCTTTTTCCAAGCCGCCTCACTTGGGAAATGACAACTATGTTCCTCGTTTTTCTCCATTTCTCTCTCATTAGCTTAATACCTGAATCTATGTTCTCGCTGCTTGCACACCTCACAATGAGACCAGTAAATGGGTGGAGCAATGGGCGGGGCTTGACTTCTGAGGCGCGACGGTGCTAGAATCCTCCTGGGTGTGAATACTGGTGCGAGGATGGTGCGAGGAAAGGTGCTAGGAACTCCTGCACGCCCTCCTATTTATTCCACAATAAACAGACTGACGTTTCGGCAAACTCGCCTTCTTCAGAGTCAGAAGAGTTTAGTAAAGCTGTTCGCAAACTGCTCCATCAAGCAGGCCTCAACGATATGGTAAGGATCGTCGACATTCCTCCTGCAAACCTTAAGCAGCAGCTGGTACGAAACCGCGATGATCGTCTCTGTACAACTCCTCATTGTGTAGTTTGTCCGTTTGGCAAGGAAGGAGACTGTATGGTATCAGGTGTTGTCTACCTTATCACGTGTACAACATGTGGAGACAAGTATATTGGCGAGGCAGGCCGCCCCCTATGCACCCGCATCAAAGAACACTTAGATGGTCTCAGCAAGGGCAATGTAGCTACTCCGTTAGGCATGCATCGCAGGCTCAGCCATGACGACGCGGAGGTGGGAGTGCAGGTTCGAATCCTGGCGCGTGAACCCGAGATCTTAGCGCGCAAGACACTCGAAGCGTTTTGGATAGCCGCCCAAAATCCAAAAATCAACCGGAAGGATGAGTGCCTAGCCATTACCAACGAGCTGTCACCTACTGTTGCTTTTCTAGAGGGTTGGGCTCTTTTCTGTAGTCGATGAGGCATCTGATCGGATAGTTCACTTATGTGTTTTCGACTTTTCAGACTCTGAAGAAGGCGAGTTTGCCGAAACGTCAGTCTGTTTATTGTGGAATAAATATCTGTACCAATCTTGGACGCTGCTGAAGAAATCAATCAGAAGATTCAAACTACGCCAAGATTTATATATAGTCGAACATGAATTCTGATTTCTAGAGTGTCTTTATAATTATGGCCAGCACTGTATAGCTTTGATGACTGACAAGGAACGTCTTTCTAGTCGAAGTGGCCTGCAAAATGATTTCTATACCACCTTGGAGAGCTTCAAAAGCTGATAACAAATCTCCTTTGTCTACCGAGCGTTTCTGGGCTTAGGGTTGCGAGCGTTTTTTTTTTTTGAAGAAATGCGTCCGCGTTGAGTCAAAATGGACCAGAATTGCTCGAATGATCTATTAAATATCCGTATACTTCAAGCAATGGATACCTTTTGTCCCTGCACACAGAATCAAAACGTTCTATTTGAGCGCTGAAGCAAACGCCACAATTGATTTCACCTAGGTTCTGTGTGCAGAACAGCTTTGCTTTTCGCTCCAAAAACGTAGTTCAGAGTGCTCCCAGGATTTCTGCGCTGGGACCAACGGGGGGGGGGGGGGGAGAGGACGGAGAACGGAGAAGGTGGCAGCAATATGGCAAGGCAAAGTTCCATATCTCCTTTCTGTATGTCCCACTTCAATATTGTCTCGCTAGCTTGCTACTCACTTCCAACTCCTTATAAATGCCCTTTTAACAACTCAAATATCCGCCGCAAAACGTGAGGTGATATGGGGTAAAAGTGCCCTCGAATGAATCTCCGTCCTTAGGGTCATTCTAGCGCACGAGCAAGGGAGGATATTCACTCAAATGGCCTTTGAGTATGCTGTACATACATAGTATTTTAGAGGCCAACGAGGTTTTTAAGCTGTCACCTTTATCTGGCCAGCGCTGCTGAGCGAAAAGTTACAGGATTTATCAGCAGAATTTAGGAGCCGCTTAGCACCAAGTTCTGCAAAAATTTTAATATTTCTTTGCTCAAATGCAGGCGTGGTCAGTGTCTGGCAACTGATACTTTTAGTCCTACTCAAAATAAGCAAGTGAACTTATGAAAATTGAGCTGTTCAATGCTTACTGCTTTTCTCACACAGCTGAGATCTTCAGATTCGTAGCGCAGGTTCAAGTAGTGGCAATCGAGAAATTTTGCTCTAGGGTGGAGGAAGTAAGGGATGGGAATTTGCTAAATGCTAATTAACCACGCCCTCGGAGAATTTTTAGCCGAATTTTCTGCGGGCTTATTATCCTGCAATTCTTCGGGGGCGTGGCTTGCCGCCTCGATTTTTTTTACACATTTTTCAAGAATCATTTCGAATATTTACAAATTGGAGTTACTTGCTCATTTTTGTGAAACATGTGAACTACTTTACGCCCCCTCCACTCCCCCCCCCCCCCTTCTCGGTGGCACTGTCGCCAAGTATCTCGTTGAGGTGATCAGCGCAGGATAGGGGTGTTGTGGTTGAGTGACCAATCAACCAGATTCAATCCGGAAATCGCCGGAACTTCGGCGGTCAGCGCACGGCAATTGTTAGCCTCGGCGACAACGAGCAGCAGAGAGGTGCCATCGTCGCACTCCGAACGAGGCGCTGCCGTCCGTTAGTGGTTGTTAGCCAATTAACGTCGTCTAATTACCATGACAAACAACAAATCACAAGCAATTGCGCGTCAGGTCAAACAAGCGCGCACGTCCGATTATTAGCGCTTGAAACGAAATGGTTAAACACCGAGTTCGAAAGCGATTACCACAAAATTATTCATTTCACCCGACGTCACATTTCATAGAATACTTGGAGATCATTTAGCAACCGGAAGCACATACATATTTGGCACAGTAGTGGAATCAATAAAGTTCGCCCCAGCTTTACATCTGTATAATAAATGTCTAAAAATCGTCTGCTAGTAAAGAGTCGATGGAAAAATCTCGTCTTCTAGACGTTGCTGTTGGCAACTTTATCTCTTGTAGGGGATACGGAAAGGCAGGAGTAGGACTAGGAGAGTCGTCTGAGGATTCTCCGTCTGGCACTGATAAACCCATGTGTCGGCGAACCTAGAAGAAATTTTAGATTGTTAAAGAGGATTATTGAATTACGTCACAATCTTGTGTTAATACATATCTGCAATTTATTTTCGGAACTTTTAGAATTTTATTTTTTTACTTTATTCCACTATCATAATTTTTCTATACGGTTCAATTTTTCGATTGATGGCTCATCACTTATCTACTTATTTGTCTCAAATCGTGGTAATTTTTTAAACTAACCGTTTGCTACGTTGTATGCGTAGTAAAATAACTAAAAAGTATTTGTTTTTTTTAAAATATGCATTTTTACTGGAATCATAGTTCGATAATAACCTAAAAGTCGATTTTACAGTTTACATACTGATCCGTACTGCTTATTCCAGAAATTTTACATATACCTCCCAAAAAAATTCTTTTGCCGACCACTTACTTTTCTTTGCGCTCTTCTGCGTCTAAAATCGCCTCGTTCAAAATCGCGAAGACAAGCCGGATGTACTGCCCAATAGTGGCCCTATAAAGAGCATGTTGATGTAAAAATCTCAAATTCTCTTGGAACTTGCATCGCTTGGAACTTTTCCGTTTTCTCAACGCACCTTTCCATTCGCAGCTCTTCCGGCTTTCACAAAACAGTCGTTTAAGCTCAGATTGTGCCTGATGCTGTTTCTCCAACCGGAACCTCGTGTACGGAAGTAAGGGTAATGTATCATTATCCATTCATATACCTTCAACAAGAAATCTGGTCTTAACAACTTTTGATAACTTTAGTCTGCAATGACTGAACTTACTTCGCTAAGCACCATCTTCTTCTCTGGAGAAGACAGGATTGCCATTGCTATGAGTCCGATATATGAATGCTGAGGCTTTGGTTGGTCGAGCATCGGGAAGAGGGATGACGTGTCGAAAAGATTACGAGAATTTGACATCTCTGGACGGAAAAGTGCCGATGCAACTTCATGACGATCCAGACCAAACAGTGCTCGCTGATAGTCTCGCAGCGCTTCTGCGCAGAGCCGATCCATCTGTACATAATTGTAAGATCTTATAGTCATTTGATCATAGAGAGCGAACTGAGAAAATAAGTGTTTCGTTGAACTTCTGAAGACTTGCGAGTACAGGACCTTGAAAGTACAGTGATTCTGCTAAATTCGGGGCGCTAGAGGAGAAGAAAATGAGAATTTTGCATTCAGTGAATCTCTTCAAATATTCTTTAGCTTAATCTGCCTAATTTCGAGAATCTTAGAAAAGGGAAGTATAGGGACTTTCTCTTGTCAACAAAACTCTAAAATAAAAATTCCCCACTGCAAATCCTGTAAAGATGTAGCAGAAGATGTTGTTGAGAGTATTTACGGAAATGGGTAGAGGGTTATCACTCTAAGGGGTTATTCCATGTCCGAAGTCTTGAAACTGCCAAAACTCAAAAAACATAACCTAAGCACCGTAATATTATACATGCGTATATGTAACAAGTGGAAGCAAACCAAGCCAATCTCTCATTTTTTATATTCTAAAGGAAGCATATGTCAGCTTGGAAAGTTTCTGACGGTTGTTAGCTGTACTTACATGTACAAAAATTCCGAAAAAATGATTATCAAACTGATAATGTCTTCGAGCCGTTGTGGTCAGGCATCTGAATGATTGATCCCGCTTCCCCACTAAAGAAAAAGATGCTGAGTTGTTGATGAACGACAAGCAAGCAACCAAGTGCCAGGTAATGGATACATATACGTCTGTCAGAAAGAGGAAACAATTTGGCAATGGGTGATACAGCTCGCTATGCGGCCAAAATACCTCGACAAACAGGAAAAACCGTCGTCCGACCATTATGAGCAAAACATGTGCTGGTGCGAAATTGCTCGGGAAAAATATAGTCGAACAAGCATTTTGCTTTAGTTTGTGGAGGAATGAAGCAAGTGTAAAAGTAGTTTTTGGACAAATGTTGAGTATCACTGGTTTCCGTGTCTACAATATGATGCTTCGGCGCAGAATACTTTTTGAAGAAAAAATCTGTGCCAATGAGGTTTTAGATCTTTACGATAATTTTTGGAGAAACAGTAAAGTCTTGGCGGTTTTTCGTAAACAGTCATGAAAATGACTAATTACTCAGTTTTATGCCTTTGCAGCTCTATGACAATCTGAGTGGCTATTGTTTAGCCGAGCTTTTTTTGCGAAGAAGTAAACCTTCGCTATCAACATGCATTATCTGAAATTATTTGTCATTGAAAAAAGCAAGCTCCTTAGATAGCTGCCCTTTAACAAAATACTATTAAGTTTATTTTCCAGTGCCACCATATAATCTTACAAAAATCAACTGTAGCATTTCACTATTAACGGCTAAAATTTATTTTGCTTTATTGATGTATTCTACTTAACTTTTACTCAGCCTTCTAGTAAGCTTTATTTTTATGTACTGGTAAATTCTCAAGTTCATTCCTTCGTCAAAATTACTAGTGACGGCTTCGCAAGTGACATTGATGTCGGTGTTTTAAATTTATACAAGCTGATACTCAAAATTTCTGGACGGCGGGATGTGTTAATTTCGAAATCGCTGTGCTTATCCAAAACTTGATATTTTATTGACAAAATCTAGCCGCCAATACACTCCGCCATGGCAGGTATGTGCCATAACTGAATTCGAAGAAAACAAATAAGAAAAGTGTCAAATTCTTTGTTTCGCTTTCTCAGGTCCTAGTTGAAGTTTTTTTAATCTGTCGTCTACTCTAGAAGAACGAGATGATTTTCAGTTTGGTGCTAGCAGAAGAGATGATTCATTTTAAATTTCAGATGAGTTGTTGAAGAAAGTCGTTTGCTACAAGAAGGGGAAGTTCTAGACTGGAAGAAGTGAGTTTGAGGTTTTGCACTCATGGTAACACTCTTCAGGAAAATTGCGTGACAAAGTAGTGCTTGAAAGCGGCGCTTTGTGTAGTCCACAAACAAACGAGTAAGAAACCTCATCGAATTTGGGCAGGCGCTTCTTCTCTCATAAATGAGACATGGATGTCTACTTTGGAAATCTACAGGGACAGCTGGAGCGGGGGAAGAGCCCTCAGCTGCTCAAAGTCAACAGATCTTAAGAGGTTTGCAGAATCAACGCTGTTGAAGCGCGTCGTTGAGGAGGCGGAGCGGCATTGTGTTCGGCGCAATCGCATTAGACGAAGAGTACGGTAATGAAACGCAGCAATCGCCGCGCGACGTCGCGGGCGCTGATTGTTTGAGGCGGCAAATTGTCCACTTAGCCATCGCCGTTGTTGTTCGTCGCTGAAACCTCACAAAGAGATTGAGGAAGACGTCGTCGAGAGTCCGAGCCCGCGGCTGATGCGCGCGCGCTACGTTCACCGGAAGAACGGCGGAAAGAAACATTACCCGATGCAGTCGTTAGCTAACCTTCAACTCAAGAGGATTGTATGCGAATCCTGATTCAATCTCAGAATAGCACGGAGTTGGATGGTGAAACTACGACTAAACACTGAAGTGAATTTTCTCTCCAAATAGATAAGTGCGAGCACAGTGTAGGCTCACGGACCAATAAAAAAAAGTAAGTGTAAGAATTGCATTCTTTTTAGGCACTGAAATTTTACTTTTTCAGGCCGACCTTGTACGTCTCCCTTAGCCGTGAAGCACGAGCTTTGAAATTCTTGAGCTACCCAAAAAGGAGCAAGATCAACAAATGAAAGGCTAGAATCCGAAGTTCTTCCTGAATAAGTCAAAATACCCAAACTTGTTTGACATTTTTCCAAAACAGTGGTAATTTTGAGAGACTTGAAGCATATTGCAAGCTCTCTTGGTTTCTTGGCTTAACACTGAAAATATTTGAAAACTTCAGTTTCTTGGAATTCTATTCCTATCGGTTTTTTATGATCCTGTGTCGTGGAGGTGATCTCTAACCCGTTGTTTGTAGTTAGAAGAAATGATAAGTAAAAGATACTGCCAGTATAATGTAATCAATGTTTAGTTCTATGCAACTTCTGCACTTTAAAACAATATATTGTCCCTCAGAAACAGCAAATACACCCAAGGATTGTTATTTCAATGAAAGCAGGGAATGGTTAAAACTTAACTATAGCAAACATGCTTTATCATCAGACTCGTCCTGAAACGCTGATCATAAGTATTATATATGTTTATTATCTGCCAAACGACTATATGTACGAAGTTTGAGCGTTTAAATGTGCGATTTGTCAAGTGTCACGTGGCGCACGTTCCCGAAATAGGTTTCAAAAACACTTATTTAGGTTTATGGTGGATGTGCTTCTTCCTTGTAATTAAAATAACCATAGCCACTGAAAATCCGCGAATCAGGTGCTGCCTTCCAATATATTCGTCGAAACTCGAAAGATTTTTCACATTTGAACGCTCATAACTCCTTCCCAAATTGTAATCAGCGTGTTAAGACGAGTCCGATGATATACAGCTTGTTTGGACTGGCTGGGTTAAGTTTTTACCATTTACTCGTAAGCATAAACAAGTGGACAACTCATCTTTGCGTTACCTGGAATAAAATTGCTTCACACTTCAAATTGCAGATGGCGAAAGTATGTTTGACACAAATGGGTAGAAATTGTGTTGTGTTTCTCTGCACAATTCAGGCACCCTTTTGTTGCAGAAACCCGGACTTCTTCTCAATTTATGTACAAAAGTTAAAATGCTGCCATGCACAATTCATTAGTTCTGCGAGGTCTTTAAATTTATCGACTCCATCCTTATTACTGTTCATTTTCTTGAGTTAACGACACCAACAGCTTTACATGAGGTCTTGATAAAAATCTTTGAGTTCATGTAGTGATAAGTATACGAAATCATTGAAAAGTTCTATTGGAATGGCTACAACTATATTCACTTGCAGCATGCAGTGTGTGACGCTGTCCACGCAACTAATGTAATCACTCTGACAAAGGCGAACTGCGGCTTAGATGGTTTGCACACTTTGCTGCATGCTGTTGCTCCATGAAAAGAATTTATTTTGTTACGGGCATGCGGAATGCTCGCTCGCTTTACTCGTTCTTTTGAGATTTCGGCGATACACGTGAAAATAGGCAACGGGTCACAGATCAACAAAGCTCAAGATCAACAGCATGCCGAGATTCGTAGAAAGCCGCATAATCCATCCTTCACAGATCACTTGTATTGTCAAAGACGAGAAAACGGGTGGGTTCATCCGCAGATCTTATTTTTCAGATGTCAAGAAAGTCCTCTTGATCAGGGCACGGCACAGGTGGCTTAACAAGCAAGCTGGATATCGTTTTTGGGGAAAAAGCAAAGGGGATGTCGTTTCTGCGAAAGAGCATAACGTTGTCTTTCAACCTGCGGCCGGCACGCTGCCGGCATGCCGCTAGCAAATAAAAAAGTTTGCTTACAGCGAAGTGAGGATGAAATGACACCAAAATAGGTGTGTAGATGGACAATGGGGTGTTAGAACTAAGTATGAAAAATTATGAAAAAATTATGTGAACTAAAGGCGTGCTCAACTTTTTTCGGAGTTAGGTGGCTTTCAAGCCACCTGGATAGCCACCTGAGGTGGCTTAGAAAAGAAAAAGTCATAAATTTTTCCTCCCTCACATAATTTTTCTACTTTCTTTACATACTTTTCATCTACATCCCAAACTCTACAAACTGGTTCCTAAACCGCCTCAAACCCCCTTCTCCCCGCTTAGTTATAGCCCCCTGAAAATTTTGAATGGCCGCGGAAAGGCTGCTCTAGGCGCGTATGGATACATCATGCCGCCATTCCGGAGAATATGAATATCATTGTGTTCGATGATTCTTTTTCGTTTTTTTCTGCTGTTGCTTTGTTCCGTTATTCATGTATTTTCTCTTCGAATATCTCGTGGCGGATATCGTAATTTTATTGAAGTCAAAGGGGACTTCATTTTTTTGCAATTTCGGGACGCCACCTCGTGCCGAGCCCTGGTCTAGGGTCAAAGGGGACTGCGTAAAAATTCACAAAATTCAAGGGGGACTTCGTTTTTTGCATTTTCAACTAGCCACCTCGTGCCGAGCCCTGCTCTTGACTTTCGACAAAATTTTCGCTTTGTTTTAAGTACTAATGGAGACATACGGCAAACACTGCGTAGAAAAAACAAGTCCCACAAGAATCAAACATGGACATAATGGTGACTTATACAAAAAAAGAAGCCAAAGCGTTATATATCGTTACATAAGCTTGTAACACTTTCGTTGTCCTCTCCTAGAAAACTCTAGAAACTTCAGCATAGTCTCATCTCTGGCAATGAGGAAGTGATAAGAATATAATGAATCCAGTCGTAATAGCAATTCAACTTCCACTTTTTCATTCATCTTAAGAAAATCTTCCCATTCTTTTTTTTTCACAATGAATTTCTTTAGTTCTTCGGGACATCGGTTAACCTGTAGGCGATACGGAAGTTTGAGCTGTTCTAGCGCAAGTTGGGGGATCGCTGAGAAATCAAGAGGATTTCTCAAGTGTGACTTGTATATCTATACCATATAACTACAATCTCTCATATAAATTGAGAATGAGGAAGAATTTGAAGAAAAAACTAAACTTTTTCTCAGCTGTAACGAAATTCGAGCTGCAGTACTTTCTCTTGCTCAGGTATAAAATAACTCAGAGCATACGTGCACATGCTGCATGGAGCTCGGGTTGGGAACAAAAAAAGATGGGGAAATAACAACCGGCATGCCCGCTCTTTTTGACCCCCAACTCCTCCCACATGCTCAGATACAATACCGCTCGTTATTTGCAAAAAAAAATCACCAAACTCCGCCAGAGTTCGCCGTCTCGCGTTGCATCGCCATATCTTGCTTCAGGGTGAACGGTTCTGAATCCAGAAGCACTTTTCAGCCCAGCTCAACAAGATGCGCCTTTTGTACAGATATGCCTGTCTGAGCATGGTAGTCGGTAAAATAACACAAATTTCAAGATTTTTGCTCACGGTAGGTTACATAGGTGTGCTTATCCATTGCACAAGAAGTAACCTACCGTAGGCAAAAATCTGGAAAGATCTGTGAGATTCTACAGATTACGTGCTCAGACAGGCACTTCTGTACATCAAAAAATGCATCTCGTCGAGCTGAGTGAGTGGTGCTTTTGGATTCAGAATTCGTCCATTTTAAAGCAAGATATGACGATGCCAAGCAAAGTTCAGCGATCTCCGTCGGAGTGTAATAATTTCCTCACAAATTGCTGCCGGTATTGTACACAAAGGCTGCTGCTTGACGAAACGCAGAAGCGTATTAGTTGAGTAGGCGCGAACGCGGCGCGCGCGTATCCTCTTGTAAATCCTGCGCTCTACGGCTAATAAAGCCGCGTTAACCGAAGAAATTGCGCTTTCGTCGCGCAGCGGCCTATACAACTTGAGAAAGGACGACTTGAGCTCAAAAACCAGAGAACTTCTTGACAAACTAATAGCTGGTACAGCAGCAAATTGTCACTCTATATAAGCTGTTGCAGCCGCTACGTATCTGTACAAATTGTGTCGAAGTAAATGCTCATATTCCATGTTCTCATTCAGCAATTTTTTTACCAAAACTATGGAGTTTATTTGGTTATAAGGAAATTTTGGTTAATGAACACAGTTTCGCCTTGTTTCTACTCATTTTCTGAGCTTCCTGCGCCATGCTGCGTCGATGCATCCGAATTCGTAGGCACCCCTGGTTTTGGTGGTCTCTAAAATAATCAAGTAAACTAGGAGTTAAAGCTATGTCCTGATTCATACATGGCGTGGATTTCTGAGAAAATCGCTAAGGACCCCGATACGATTGCGGAATCTGACCACATCGGAAATTGTCGGCGAGTATCTTCTTCTATGCGGAGTCAATCTTGAATGTGCCGAACTCGACCGAGCATTTTGACGAGCATATGACCCAGAAGTAGTGCTCGTTTCATTGGAGAATGAGCTGTGAGTGAGGGATACAAGATTTGATGCGAGGCATGAGGTTGAGGAGGCTGCCTTTGTCGCGACAAGATCAGCGGTACAAACGATACTGGATGCTCGTGACACTTGTGGATCAGAACGGACGAGGCGGCTGAAAAGGATGATTTTGAAACTTTGAAATATTACAGTAGGATGTAGTCACTTACATAGGGTTGTAGGCTGGTCCTTCGCCTGCAATCGACGATATCGTTGAGGTAACGCGATATTTAGCTTCGTTCCCAGCATGCTGCAGTTGATTTGTCACTCAATCAACCGATTTACAAGAATTTTTTTGACTGACCGGATTGGCAAGAGTTTTTATAATCATTTTTGCTGTATCACGAGTTGTGCGATCTGTCTTACCAGGAAAAGGAGTATAAGGGACGCGTCGAAATCCTTAAAAAGTCATTATCCTGGATTTACATAGAAGAGCCTATTCACCTTTTCCTAATCGCCCTGTTTCGTCAACGTCTTCATCAACATCGCTTCCCGATCTGAACACGCATATAGCACAAGTGAAGATCGTCTGACTTCACTAACGTGTCGGACGTTCTCAAAAATCTAGGTCTCATGTCTTCGTCTTCTTCGACATCTACATCTGGCTCTATACCGTAGCGATCTCGCAGTCGTTCATTGAATAATTCGGATCTGCGCAAAATCTCGTCGCAGTGCGCCATCCAAACAGGGTCAAGATAATCGACTAAAATTTGGTAATTATCCAAATGACAATACTGTCGGCGTGTATGTAAATGCGGCCCCTAATCTAGTGCAAAAATAGTAAAAAATCTGTGAATGAAAACTGCATAAAAAATTTTCTATATTGACTGACTTATTTGTAGTCGTGGTCTTTTCCATCTCTTCGAATAACTTTTTTATTCCGAATTTTGAGTCCATCTACCCCCCCCCCTCAGATTTGTCAAGCAAGGAAAGCGCTGTACTGCTCTAAAAAGACACATACTAGTCCGACCGCGTGCCGGTCGGCGCAGAAATTGCGCTCCCGTCCTCCATCGTATCCACAAGATTTACTTTGCTGCGGAAGTACCCAAATACCTATAATACCTTGTCGAATGCGCGGCGAATCAGCTGCTATCGATCCCAGTTGATGTGCGTCAGTGTACATCTACCTTCCATGCGAGCATCAGCGCCCAGTGCCCGATCTAGTTTCGTACCTTTCGTGAAAAACAGTGTATCCATCATGGGACACTCTTTTAAACGCTCGTCGTGACCGGCACGAGGGTCACGACCGTGCCGGGCGCGATCCGCGGCGTCACGTCGGGTAGCCCCGAGCCCTTTCACCCAACCGATTACCCTATTTTCACGTGTGCAAGCCGCACCCTGATTTGCTCTGGAGGCCCTCGTTCTTCACCTACTGTCTAATTTGTACACATTGCAATGCTTTGCCATGACCAGAGAAGCTATTAATTTTTGCCAACCGTAGTAGTTTACCTCAAACTGACGAGACAGAACTTTGCATCCAACCTATTGATGTTGTATTGTCAAAGGTATCAAGAGATTGAATCCAATCTATTGATGTTGTATTGTCAAAGATGTCAGGAGATGCGACCAGACTGTCTTATCTCGGGTGAAAATGTTGATGACTTTTTGGACTAGTTGGGCGCTATAACGTTGTTTATATCAGTAAGTAAATCCTACAGCGGGTTGTACGATGGAACTGTAAAGGTGATTCTCGGATTTCAGTGGTAGCGACCTTTTTGAGTGGTGCTACAAGACTTACAAAAAAACTAAACCGCCACGCAGGATCACGTTACGAGACCACTCAAAAGGATGAAACGAGCCATCCCAGAGGTGTATATCGAGTGGGACGGGTGTAGGCCCTTCTGAACCTGCCCCAATCGCGACGGCTATAAGAGGTCAGCGCTAATTAAAGGTCACTCCATGATTGGCTAGCTCGCGGGAGCGAGCGGCTGACCTGGGTAGACGCGCTGCGGAGGCGGACGAGTTTCACATCGCTGGTAACCTACTCCACAATGAGTTTCTGGAGGTAATTCTCTAGAAAATTCCTAAATTCCCCAAATTCCCTAGAATTCAATAACTTAAGTTATTCGCTCTACTCCACACTACTTAAATCGCCGGACACTTTCTAAGGTGGTATGTGACCTATGAGACATTTTCAATGTCTTTTTCGACTTATTTTACTGTTTTTTTAGTTCGATTGCATGCTCTACTCTCCTACGTCTGCCTCCTTGCAGCATCATCTAGTCACATTCAATTGAAATGTGCACTACATGCATGCCAGTAGGGAAGCATATGTTTTTTTTATGATGAGTATGAAGTTTTTTCTACACCGTTCATATCAAAAACGCAATCAAATAAAAATGCATCACATTCATTTGGTAGCGTGATCTACATGGATTGATTTTGGTAGCAACCTTTTCTTTGCTGCACGCATCATGCTTTTTATAGCGTAAAAATTTCAAATGCACGTTCGTAAATTTTACTAGGAATGAGAATTTTGAGGAGATGATGATTTTCTTGGAAAGCTACAGAAATGCACCGAAATGCCAGAAGGAAATACGCATTTGATAACGAATTAGCGTAGATCACCAATTTGAGTTATAATTGGCCTTTATAAAGAGTTGTTAAACAAACTTTGATTACGCGGGCTTTCCTCAATAACATCAAGCAGCTCACATTAGCAATATGATGTGACGATGCACGACGTTATAAGGATCGCACACACAAGGGATATAAGTGGAAAAAACCAAAAAAACAAAGTTCGAAAGAATTCAAAGGAGATTCTTGAGAAGTTTTTTATGGATCCTGGAAATGAAAAGACTTCGAAAATGTCCCTCAAATCATAAACATACCTGCTGGGAAGTAGGGCTCAGAATACCAAACATTCAGAGGATGGTAGCTGTGTTTGATTGGAATCAGCGTGATTGGCCTGCATTCCATAAGGCAAGAGGCGCACGAAAAAAGTTTGTGATTTTCGAAAATACGAGCCCTTCGCGGAGCACTCGTCCGCAGTCATCGCAGCGCATGCGCGCGCGTCCTAGTTCTAGATTACTGTAGGGGACGGTGGGTTCAGAAGGGCCGTCTCCCAGTGGGACGACTGATACAAGCCAGCGCCGTCATACGTGAATGCCAGTATTTTTAAGGGTAGATGATGTCGCTCTGATCGTTCTCGGATTGTCTGAACATTTAGCATAGGACTTACAGTTCGGATCGACAACTCGGTTTGCTATAGAAGTTCCAGAATATTGAACCAATAGTGGAGGATATTGACCATACATAGCCTCCAATTCAGCTGGTCTAAACAAAAATTAGGACGTGACAACAGAGGGTAGCTTTGCCACAAACATTTTTGAAGATGCATCCGAACGCAATGGTAATCGCCTACAAATAACCATTTTGATCAGCGTAAAAACCAACGAAAAGATGGTACCTAGGCACTCTGAAGTGGTAGGTGAACGATATGAGATTCTCATCTTGTTCAACGGTTTTAGACAGAAACACTGCCTGAACTCGTATTGTTACGCATCCGACATAGTGGTAGCCCACATACCATGAAGCAAGTAAACTAAAGAATGAAACAATCGCTTCAGTGACAGTTGTTTACTTCTTGTTTTGCATATCGTATCTCATCCAAGCTATTATGAGGGGGGGGGTCGGTTTAAGCGACTTTCATACAATGAGCGAATACTTTTGGCACGGAAATTTCGCGTCTTCAGCTTTGAAAATTTTTTCTGAATCAGCAGCTAGTGCGAATGATCATGGACAGGAATTTCTCCAACTTTTCAGCTGAAGTGGCCATTCCGGATGAGCTTTATATCATTTGGTAGAAAATCAAAGGCTAATTCAAATCTATTTAATGCAGAGCAGATAGTGAAAACAGGTTTATAAACAGTGTTTAATGCTCTTCAAAACTATCGCCGGAATTATTTGGAGAAGCAACTTCGACTATAAACATTTTTCTTGTTATCAAGTACTTCACATAAAAGATTTTAAAGATTTCTTTGTCTGTCCTTTGATATGTAAAGCAGTAAAATCTTATTTAAGTGTGGATAGGTGGGATGTCCGCGCAGTCCGCGAACGGCGTATTCGGGTATCGTCGATTCGTTGACTGCACGGACTGCTCAAACGCTGCGGACCACGCGCGGCGCGGCTGAATTGTCGCGAGAGCGCGACTTGTATAGTGGCGAATTTGTACTGGGGCAAGCGTTTTACCTCGCGGCGCTTGCTCCGCAGTGATGTCCAGTCCGTGCGGTTATCCCCTTTTCTAGTGCACTTATCGTTTTGTTCTCTACAACACCGCTCCATTTTTTTGCAGAAAATGACGCAAAGTCGCTCGATTCATGTGAAATCACCATAGCGTGGCCATATCTCGCTTCAGAGTGGACGAACTCTTAATCCAAGGACACCAATCAACTCAGCTCGGCGCAGCGCATATTCTGATATGTAGAAGTGCTTGGCTTGCATAGACACAATAGGGGTCATATTTCACGAATCGATCCAATTTTTGCTTACCCGCCCAGTGGGTGGGGTTTGAATAAGCACACGATTAATTTATCGTAAGAAAAAATCTAAAACTCGTGTAATCTGACCTCTTACTGTGCCCAAGTGGGAACTTCTGTATTTATCAGATGTGCCACGCCGAGCTGAGTCGATGATGTCCTTGAATCAAGAATTTTTTTTTCTTAAAAGAATACGAGCGGTGTTGTATGTAAATTTGTTAAGTATGTTTGCACAAAGTGAATTGATAAGACTGAAACTCGCTTCGCTATAAATGAGGCATGGTGGATGCCATTTGCTACTTCTTAAGGGCCGGGCATACTTCACGCGATTTCAGTCGCGACGCGATTTGGCAATATTCCAACTGTTCATATCTCACTGTGAGCACATTTAAAATGTACAGAAGATAGGGCATTTAGCATTCCACGTAGTTACACACACTATGCATGCGCAGTTTGCTAGTGTTGGATCTGAAGACTTCTGGCGAATTGCCAAATCGCGTCGCGACTGAAATTGCGTGAAGTATGCCCGGCCCTTTACGGCGATCTACTGCCCCATCGGTACTAATTGGTCAGCTTACACTTGGTAACATGAAAAGTTGTTAGTCATTATAGAAATATGAAAAGTTGTTAGTCAATGGCCCGTAGTAAAGGTGCCTCAGTCGATTCGACGAGTCAGCTTGCCCTGAGCCATTGATTGCTAATGTAAACGATCCACGATGAAGATTGAGGACGCCACGTCTATCAAGCATACAACTTAAAACGCGTTCACCAAACATTCACCTTATGTGATTGGAACTTGCGGCGGGGATGCGGCCGTACTCGTTAGACCTTCTTGAGCATCGCCAGCCTGCACCGTGGCTCCTCACCCAGTATTCCTTCGACATGTTAAAATGACGTGTATTGTAAGTTACTCAGGAGTAGCTTGCGGAAGTTTTCTCTGCGTATCATCATTCACACGCTATCTAACAAGGGAATGGTCAGAAGTCGAAGTGGCCAAACCGAACAAGCTGTATATCATTCGATGCAGCATAAAACGCTGACTTCGAATTTGTCTTCCTTATCTGCTTATCGCTTCTGTGGACGAAGCTACAAGCGGTTTTATTGTGAAAAAATAATACATAAAAACAGCGAAATTGAGCACATAGTTGTACATTTAGCTCAGCTTCTGCTTTTAAAAATTTTAAATGAGCTAGCTGCATGTCTTGGGCCAACATTGAGGCGAATGTGGCTCTGTACGACTAAATTTTCAATTTCACGCATAATTTCTTAGCAAAATAATGGTCTTTAAAGGCTTATAGCTTCGTCTAGAAAAGCGATAAGCAGGTAAGGAAGACAGATTTAGAGTCAGCGCTTCATGCTGCATCTAATGGTATGCAGCTTGTCTGGATTGGCCACTTCGATTTCTGATCATTCCCTTGTAAATCAATTCGCCGTCTAACTGAATGTGAACTGATTGAAGGCAATGGCTCGGCAAAACTAAACATCTCTAAATTTTGATGTGGAAGGTTGCTGCACCCCAAACATCAGAACAGAGCACCGCGCACTACATGCTGCCCCTGCTTAGAAAACCGTTTAAACCCGTGCGCGCAAGCCGTTCTTATACGCGCTTGGACGAGCTTTTGGTCACCCTCCCACCGTCAGAGGCGGCATGCGCAATGCTATGAACATAAGGTCCAACCACTCTACGTCTCTAACCGTCGCGGGGAATGCCACTCGCCCAAATTCAAAATGAGAACCTTGAAAAATGCTGGTTTTCGACTTTTCGTGCTCTTCAAAGTGTATTTTCAAAACCAGTGCGTCGAATTGCCCCAGATAAGCGAAAAAACTCAGATCGAGGATTTGGACAGACGGAAGATGTAAAGCAACCCAGCTCCAAACTATGCTATTTCTGTCGAGACGCAGACTAACTCCAGTCCGACAGACCCCTCGCCGACTGGGCGGTGCCACCAACTTCGGATGAAGTGGCACTCTCCGAGTACTCGGTGGTCCCCTCCCCAATTATGTTCCCCCACGTTTATGATGATAAAGATCTGGTCAGGAATCGTTATTTAGTAAAGAGGCAAGAAACTAACAATAAGAGTAAAGAGATCAAGTTACGAGAATAGCCAACTCCTCAACTTGACATGGAGATCTCGTGGTGTAGCGGTTCGCACTCAAGACTCTGAATCCTGCGACGTGAGTTTAAATCTTACAGGTGCGAAAGTTGCCTCCAACAATAAGCCCTTCCCCTCTGTCCCGTCAAGATCAATCAGCGATCAACGCGTGAAGCATTCTGCTCTCAACCAAACCAACAAATGGTATGTGGGCAACATCAACTGTATATATGGGCAACGTCCAAATCAATGATGACGTCTCAACCATGCATATGGGCAACGTACAAACGAACCCAATGATGACTACTTCAAAACAACCATGGCTACTAAAGCTTGAGGACGAGCTTTGCGTGGAAGGGACATGTAGAGACGCAGACTAATTGGAGTCCGACAGTGCCCTCGCCGACTGGGCGGTGCCACCAGCTTCAGATGAGCTGGCACCCCCGGGTGCTCAGTGGTCCCCAAATCATGTTTCCCCCACATTTATGATGTAATGATAAAGATCTAGTCAGGAATTGTTATGTTACAGAGGCAAGAAACTAAGGGTAGAGGGATCAAGTTATGAGAATAGCTAACTCGTCGACTTCGTCAACTTGACATTCCCAGGGTTTTGGAATCAACCGTGGAGAGTGTGTAAGTCGTTCGTTCAAAGCAATCAGCTGAGACAAAACCACCATTTTTAGAATTTGCTCGGTAAAATACACGGTGCGAAGGTCAGGGCGTATAAACGATTTTTGTGAGTTGTCGCCAGCCGATGTGGCGTTAGGCCTAAGGCATAGCTTTCGCGATTTTGCGAAGTCGCCACATCCTCGCGACTTGGCGATTTGCCAGATGTCCAGAGATTAAGCATGCGAGCTCTCAGATGCATGGGTGCGTAGATTCCATAAATTGTAACAAACACAGCAAGTCTGGCCCAAGCAAAGTGCGTTTACGACCAGCTATAGAGAGTGTCGTTGCAGTGCCAAATCGCGCGGCGACTAAAATCGCGTGAGGTATGCCTTAGGTCTTATAGGGAGAAATCGCCATGATCCGATGCATCGTTACTGCTATGAGACTTGGCATGTTGTGAGTCTTCGCTCGACTCTTTACAAGAAGGAGACGGTCTTTTCGCTTGAGCGGTCTTCAGAGCAATCTTGTTTCAACACTTAGGCAAGCGGCGAGTCCTTCCTTCCCCTTTGCTTTGCGCCGTGGAGGTGTCGCGCCGGCCGTGGACCTGTGCGGAAAGCACATTTACTATTATTATTATCGTTTCATAAGCTCGTAGATTTTCAATTTATTAGCCACTAGCTGGCTTACCCGGCTCCGCCGTATGCTCCGAATAGAAAATTCCATTTCTCAACCGATCCGGACCGAACTTGGCACACATACATTCCGGGCCCCGGCGGGTGTCACAGTCCACTTTTCGTTATCGATCGATGTCGATTTTATCGATTTTTTGCAAAATTTGAGCTAGGGGGCTGGAATTTGGCAGAGGGGTGTAATCGAGCATGCTGATCACATGCTCGATTACCCCCCTGTGCCAACTCCCAGCCCCGTAGCTCAAATTTTGCAAAAAATCGATAAAATCGATATCGATCGATGACGAAAAGTAGCCTACGACATCCGCCGGGGCCCGAAATGTATGTGTGCCAAGATTGGTCCGGATCGGTTCAGAAATAAAAATTTCTATTCGGAACATACGTACATACTACATACAGGCATACATACAGACATACATACAAACAGACATTCAGCTTTATATATAAGATTTTTTGATGAAGCGGTTGATTTACGGCAAAATGTACCATCCGAAAGAGCTAACCTTGCTCTACAAGTGCTGTTGTTCGTTTTCGGAGCGAACCGAGCTCTCCGTATTTTATGATTTCTCAAAGTAAGGTTTTTTAAGAGGCAAAAATTGACAATTTCGGCAAACCTTTTGCAATTGATCCGTATCCCTCAAAATGTTATCCACATATGTAGGC